TTCGTTGGTATCTACTAATTTTTCACACTTATTGAAATTTAGTAGTTTAAAATCGTTAATAATTTATTCCATTTCGATTTAAAAAAAAATAAGCTATAAATACTGAAATACAATTGTAAGTGATTAATCAATCAGAAGAAAGTTATCTTATATGCATAGGTCCCAATTTTACAGTGATGTGCAAAAGTTTGATAAATTTACTAGGCTAATCATTACGTATTTACTTAATATTTTACTATTACTAATGATAGTCTTACTAAAGAAAAGTTTAGTTTAATTTTATTACGCCATTCTTTTTCGTAGCAACATACATTACGTGTAAACTAGGAAATTTTCAAAACTGAATCTTCTATTACAATTTGTTTATTTCAACACGAAGCCTTGTTTAAAATCTGACATTAGTAGAAAAAGAGTAGAAAGCTGCTAAACATGGCCGAGAACAGGTGGTAATTATATTTTTTTCAATAAATAGATTTTTAAATTACTTTTTGTTGGGGGTCTTTGCGTTGCTATTTGTGCGAAGAAACATGCTGGGTCAACTATTGCCTTCTAGCCATGTCACAAAAACTTGGCAGTGATGTGATATACAAGTCACTCAGACTATATTACTGTATTCGGGCTATTAATTTCATACTGTATAATCCGGATCCTAAAAAGTTTTTATAAAAATTTCGTAAGAACTTTTTTAGATCCCGGAGTATAAATTAATAGCCTAAATATAAGAACTTAGTCTGAATGGCTTGTTGATCACGTCACTGCCATTTTTTTGTGACATGACTAATCTACCGCTAGCTAGTAACAACGCCAGGGCAGAGTCGATTTTCCGTTCACGTGATTTCCGAGATCAACTAACCAATCAAAAATCAGGATCATCAAAACAAACGCTCGCTTTGCAAAAATAGCGGTTATCTCAAAAATTATACTAGTAAATCACCTTTTGGGTTCTAACAAAAAAAATTCCTCGTGCAATTTACTATAAGGACACTCTTTCTAATCCCAATATATGCTCGAACCCTAACGTAAGTGAATTTTTTTGTTTGAAGACAATTGACTTCGAACGATCACGTGAACGGAAAATCAATCCTCTGTCCTGTCAATTTTCTAGCAAGTGTCATGGTTTCAGGATTGGCATTGACAACAAAATTACGTAATATTAATCGTCACAAGGAAATAACTACTGGTACAGAGTAATTTTGTTAATTCGCATACAATAGATATAAGATATAGTGATAATTAATCATACGTAATTTTGTTGGCAATGCTACTCGATACCATAGAACGGGTTACATGAGTGGCGTGATTTAGTATTTTATACGTGGTGGTAGCCTGATTAGTTTTGTTTATACGTAGTCTAATTAGTATATACGTATAACACGTGTAACTCGGATAATTATATATCCGGAGATACTGTAATCTTGTATTTAAAGTGTTGAGATAGATCTATTAACGTTAATAAAAAAAAAATCTTGGCTTGGGTAAATAGCGACTAAACAATAAACTGAGTGCTCTAATCTTCGTGACCGCTAAGGTATCGAGTTGGTGAAGTACTTGTACGATATTCCGAGTGAAGCTCATTAGGAAAGACTCACAATTACATTGGTTCAGTAAACTCCGTGACACTAGTTTATTTAAATGACAACAAATTAAGTAGTTAAAGGAGTTTCTTGCCAATAAGGCCTATTAACTCTGAAAGAAGGTTAGTTACATCTTCTTGTTGTTGGGAAAGCTTTGCCTATTGAAAAATATTATCACTAATTTAACTTTGGTGTTTATGATTGACATAATAATCTGGTGTATTGTTATTAAAAGAGTTTATTATATGTTATACAGCGGTAAAATATCTGGTGACAGAGAAAATACACTTCTAAATACACTTCTAAATCCACACCTTCCTAAATCTTAGAGTTGGTTTTCTTTAATTCATTGATAACAAACATAATTTATATATAATTTACTGATTTATTTATAATCGTTTCTTTAAACCATAACAAACATCCGAATCTAACAGACAACCAAATCTACTAAACCTATGCGACAACCACTTCTATCAAATGCCATGGCAACATTAAACCAAGCAAGCGAGCGAGCAGGTTTTTTATTTTTAATTTTATTATTTTTTTTTTATCAATTAGTTAAAATTTTCTTAAGTTTAATTTAGTTTTCATGAATATTAAGTTTAAAGCTCAAGCATTGCAACAAGATGTAGAAATGCAAGGTATGAAATCGAATACAATCATAGGTAATTAACTATACCTATCGATGTATTAAAATAACAGCAGTGTGCTGTACAAAATTTCCGGATACATATAAGAATTATTTACTTAAATAATATTAAGATTTGTAAAATTGTGTTCTTGATGATTTTTTGCTAGTGTACCAAACTTCGTTTTCTATATTTTTCGTATTGTTTATTTTTTTCTGTTACCTGGAATAATCATTGTGATCTGCATAATTCTGCATAATTCTGGCTATTTCCGGAAATTTTGTATTGCACCTTGCTGTTGTTATGTATAAATGTTTTTGTTTATTCCATACTGTACTAAAATTATTCAAAAAAATTTAGAGCTAAAAACACGGATACAAAGATCAAGTAATCATATTAATGAGTTAGAAATAAACTCACAAATACAGACAATTTCATCAATAGTAATGAAGATTACAAATATCGTGTAGTCAAAGTATTAGATAAAAGCTGGCGCTCCCAGCAGGTAAAACCTAGATATAGATTTACATTGAATTACACGCTGTCACGAGTGTCCTGTTCGTTTTCATATATGTATATATATACCTGATTGAATTTGGATCTTTTGGTCTTTTCACGTGAATGTTACTGTAATTAAAGTATATAGATATTTAATGATAAAGATTTAGGATAATTGGGTCATGTTAATAATTACTCTATCTTTATTAACATTCAATTAAACTTCTTTACCATTAATTTATGCTATCGAACACCAATTGCAAATTTTATAATACATATTATTAATCCATTTAAATTTCTTAATAATTGCGATCACGTAATAATTATACTTTCGTTATAATTAACTTGCGAATCATGATACCACCCAAAATTTCATGTACGGGTCCAAAATGACGTCCATGCACATCTTGAAATTATCAGTAGCAAAGAAATGTCACAAGTATACATTGTAATTTATTTAACTTTTAATATCAAAGAGGTATTATATACTGCAAAATGATGCGCAGGAGTTCGAAATAACGCGCAGATAGGCGTTTATTACGCGATTATACGATAATCATAATTGATTAACTTTTTTTAATTGTCAGAAAATACTTTTTAAGCTTTAACCTTTATAAAAAGTATAAGAAAAGCTAAACAATTTCACAGCTTATTTAATTAAATCAATTTATTCTTTACAGGTAATTCTTCGATTCCTTATATTGGGTATTAATCTTATTTTGTGCTAAAGGTTTTTTTAGTAATTACCTGTAATTTATATTTAATATATAAGAAATTAACATTTTGAGTCATTGTGTCATATGTAACCCACCGTCAATCAAATGGGATCCTCTCATTTTCCCAGCAAACACTTTCCCGACAATGTCAAAATCCCGACAAGTTAGCCCGCATTAGGTTAGGATTAGTATTAGTTCCGGTCAATTTTTGTCGGGAAAATGATAGAGACCCCGTCAAATATATATAAACGCATTTTTTTAAAGGATCAAATTCCTTAGAATTTTCAAATATATCGGATTCATGTGTAAGCCCATAATATTAATCGCTAATGATGCTTGATGGTGGAATTTTATACTCATCAATTTGATCCGAAGTTAGCAAAAACGAGAAATAGTTGCCATAATTGGCCTAATTATTCATGTTAAAAAAAGGAATTGAATGCTTGAAATAATAAAATGATTTGTAATTAAAAACTTTTTTTTTTTAGAAAATTACCTTCTTTCATCATAGCTTCGATATATTCAAGGTTCTCAGATCTTTAAAGGCAATGCTAAAATCAGATTCTGTTCAAATACTCGTTCAATTATCAAAATCCAAATTATTTAAATAATAAATGATAGAGTATTTGAAAATTATTAATAATGAATGTATATCATAAAAATTAAACATATTCTTAAATATTTAATATTAAATACTTACGCTATAAACTCCATCACTACCTCCACCATATTATCTACGATATCCTCAAAAGTCATAGGCACCTTTTGGTCATTAAAATATCTCGAATAGTGTTCTTTGAGTATGGGCAGTTAATAACATAAAACGTTAATTTCTCTTTATTGTCAACGGATTCAAATCTTTCTCTATTTTTCTTGACCAGATCACAAGCGTAATTTCTCATATTCTTGTATAGATAATTTGTGTGAAACCTTATAAGTAGAAATTTCGTATCAAATGAAACCACAACTACAAATATTTGTACACACTCAGAAGCAATAATTAAACGGTCCAAAAAATTCATTTAAATTTGAATATTATTGAAATTCTTTATTATATTGATTTGATAAATAAATCAAATTTCTTGCTGTTAAATAACATATTGTTTCAACGAAAATTTTCTAGATCAAGGTACAAATTCAACTTCTATTAATTTTTCTTGTTCGACGTTCAGAAATTAACAATCAAACAATTCCAATATCTTACTAAATCCTGAAACATTTCTCTTAAAAAATTTCTAATAAAAGACCGATGCGTATCGGTATATCGATACGTCACTAAGATTATGATCAACAGGTTGCATATTTGCAGCCAATAAAGTAAAACTTGGGTCATGCTCCCAGAAAATACGTAGATTAATCGCATCTAAACATATAATATACTGTCTTAGACCCATGTTTAGTGTTGGTGTTATTTCTTGTAGGAATTTGTGGGTTCCTACGTTAAGTCAAAAGGTAAACTATTATAAAGTATTTCTAGAAAGTATAATTTGAAGAAAAAAAAAAATAAATATGTTTTTTTTTCACGTAGCGGTTTGCCCATGATCTTATCATAAGACAAAGAACAAGAAAGCCTGTCGTCAAATATGGTGCTGAAGGCCGGTACGGTAAAGATTTATAATGTATTTTTTTTACAAAATATTAAAATTGACTTTTTTTATTAAAGATCTTCAGTGAGTGGCCATATAGCAACTGTTTTTGGCTGTACAGGATTCTTAGGACGTTATATTGTTAGTAAACTTGGTAGGTGATAAAAAAAGCCAAATATCTATTTTGAATTACTACTATTTTGATAGACTTATCTGGATCAACGTCGCAGCTAGGCAAGGAACTCAAGTTATTGTACCGTACCGAGATGAGGATTCAAAAAGACATTTAAAAGTTTGTGGAGATTTAGGTCAGGTTGTTTCTATGGTATGCACTTTTTTTTTAAATCCACATACTTATCTATATATTATTATATATATTTATATATATTTCATAATTAACGTTTATTTTTGGTTAATTATTTTTAGGAGTTTGATCTTCGCAATGAACAAAATATCGAGGAAGCAGTTAGACATTCTGATATTGTTTACAACTTGATAGGCAGAGATCATGAGACAAGGTAAAAATTAAATTGATTCACGTTTGAATAGCGTTAGAATAAATTAAAACAATGTTACAAAAATTTACAGGAATTTCACTTTTGAGAAAGTTCATGTCGAAGGGGCTGCTAGAATTGCCAAAATTTCAAGAGAAGTTGGTGTTGCTCGATTTGTACATGTATCAGCCTTGAATGCTGATAAAAATTCACCATCCAAGTTCTTTCGTTCAAAAGTATGAATAATTATAATTATAATTATTATCATTTGTTTTTTTTTTTTTTTTACTCAATTCTAAAATTTAATGTTATTATATTTTAATAGGCTTTGGGTGAAGTAGCTGTGAAAAAAGAATTTCCAGAAGCAACTATAGTTCGTCCTTCTACTATGTATGGGCAAGAAGACCGATTTTTAACTAGATACGCAGGTTAGTTGGATTAGTTTTAGCATTTTATATTGTTTTTATGGTTAATTTTATTATTATCATTATTATTTTTTTTTTAATTTTAATTTTAAAGCATTAATTATTTTGTAGAAACCAAATATGAATATATACTTAATTATGGTCAAACAAAAGTTAGACCTGTTCATGTACGTAACATAATTTGCACTATGATTTATATTTATTAAGAATTTTATAAGTTTTATAAATTTTATAAGATTTATAATCCACTGTTTTTTTTTTTTACAGGTTTTGGATGTTGCTCTAGCGCTCGAACGCATGTTAAAAGATGAATCAACCACGGGAGAGACTTATGAATTATTTGGTCCTCGTGAATTCACATATGAAGAAGTATATGATCTAATTAGAGACTTAACCGAAAATCGTAGATATAGATTCTATATTCCAAAACCAATAGCATTAGCTGTGACGAAAGCATTTAATCTGCCCTTTTTACTAACAATTTCTCCTGAAGATATTGAGAGATCATTTATTAGCGATAAAATTACTCCGGGAGCAAAAACTTTCGAAGATTTGGGAATTCGACCGTTAAGTTTAGAGATGAATAGTCTTGGTATTGTTAGAAGGTTTAGAAATAGTAAGGTTTATAACCGACCTCTTGAAAAAGGTTTGGCGCTTGAAAAAAGTTTGCCGAGGAGGAAAAGGATAATTCATACTGAATATTGAGTAAATATATATTTTTGAAAAGATGACGTGGGAGATGATATATATGGTATGTATTTGTTGTTACATAGTAATATGGATTCTTATAGATCAACATTGTAGATATGTATTTGACAAATTTTAACGTGTAATTTTATATGTTCTAGACACTTTGAAGTAGTAAGAATAAAGTTTTTTTTATTAATGATAGATTTTATAATTTTATTTACGAATAAATAATATAAACAGATATATGTTATTAGATGCAAAAAGTAGTATATGATGTAAGTGGGAATAGAATCATAGTAGAGTTCAGAATCCACTTAGATTAGAATAGAATAATTATATTAAAAATCCCATAAAAATTCCGAATCAACTTAAATTCTGTTCCCCACTTACGACATATATATATTTGTAAATGCGCAGTATTTATATATATATAACTTTTAAAATAAGAATAAAGTTATAAACTACAAGCTTAAATTTTTTTTGAAGCTTGTATTTTTATTACTAAATCGTATATATGTGTCTGTTTTTGATGATCTGAGTGTTATACGAATATGTGCAGCAAAACGTGTCATAAAATTTTACATACATTTAACAAAAGATTTGTTATTACTAGTGGTAATTATTATCAATGGTATATAACCAACCAAATTACGGATACAATATAAAATCGCTTTTTTGACTCTTTTTTTTTGTGATTAACGCCTTTCATTAAAAAAAAAAATCACTAAATTGTCGTGAAAAGCGAAGCCTTGATATAAATGTATATTCAAAATACGTAGTAATAAAAAAAATTATACATAAGTATAATTTGTCAGAGTTATTTCATACTTATTATTAAGAGAGAAATTTAAACGTTTTCAAAAATCTATTGAAAAATGGGCTGAACACGAAAATTGGTTATTAACGACAGAAACATGCATTGAAGAGCCCTCCACAGCATGCCCTAAATAGATGACTGGCCTCACTCAAAAAGCAAGAGCACACAGCCCCAAAAGTGTATACACCTTAAACGAAGTATTAAGAAGATACGTATGTTTAAGTATTCAGAAGATATGCTTAAGTATTTAGAAGACATTTTACACTCATGAATAATCGATTTAGAAAACCATGATACAAAAAAAATTATTTGTTATGAGTTTTTATCAAGTGATTACTTATATTTCAACGAATTAAATTTGGTGAATTTTCTTATATTTTATTAGATAGCTTATTTTTTAACTTAAACTTACAGGCAACTTTGGATAATATGAAACAATTAATTGTTCCAAATAACTTTCCGACTAAGAAATCAGTTCAAATTGTTCGACAAGCAAATAAATTTCGATGGTTATTTATTAAGAGATTTCTCATAATTCGATACTTAATAAGTGAATTACTTTAATCATGAACGCTGTTAGTGTTTTCAAGATCTATGATGAGATTTACCAATGTAGGTTGAAAGTACAAGGTTTTATTTCAATTTCTTCATAATAATGATAATATCACTATTTTTAGGTTAAAAACACACGTCTTTCCAACGTGAAGATGTATAATCAAAACAAACATTACGACGTTGAGTTAGCAGAAAACATAATTATTCAGAGAGAAAAAGAAAATTTCAAATTTTATATCCATCTCCTGGTTCCACATGATCTCGATCGCTGGTATTAAGTAGTGTTAGCATTTCAAGTCAAGAGAAAGTCCACCTTGCGAAGAATTTAACTAATCAAAGTTGTACGTAGCGAGAATTTGTTAGTGATTACTGCTCAATCTAATTGTAAAATAAATATAAAATATAAGCAAAAAAAAAAAGAAATCACAAAGAGATCAGTAAATTTGTTATGACAACTAGCTTTCAGTCATTAAATAAAACTTTTAATTCAAAAATTTGGTAAATTCTTTCCGCGGCGTATATTCTGTATTAAAAACGCGAGTACAGTATCAACATTTGGGTAAATATTTCGATTTAGGGCGCTTTAGTCGATCGATCGATCGGAATAGGTCGGGAAGCAAATTTTAATTAGTACATAAAAAAATGGGTTTCGAATCAATTGCATTTAATATTCCAATAAATGTAAAGCTTACAATAGTTTAATACATCATAGAGAAAATTTTAATTAGCGGAAGACCGTTTAGCCGATCAAAAGTACTTATCTTCCAATTAACAAGAAATGGAGACTCAAGCATCTTTTTTTTCACAGAGTTGCGTTCAAACATTTTACCCTTTTATTATGAATCCTCAAAATCGTAACCAGTGCAGACGCTAAAAGCTAAAATTTCGATACTTATATTCTGGTCTTTATTTCTTCATACTAAATACAACCGTTTCATTCATTCATTCTTCCTTCACAAGATATGATTCTTCATACTAAATACAACCGTTTCATTCATTAATTCTTCCTTCACAAGATATGATTGCTCAATATCAGTTAAAGCTAAAAGCGTACCCTAAAATATTCCATCAATTTTTATATTCATTACTTCTTCACATTCAACATTTGTTTATTTGCTATTAAAAAAAGTTGAGTCGGATAGTTTTGTTGTAGCAACATATGAAAATTGATGAAGTCTGAGACGAAACAGAAACTGAAATTGAATTACTATAATGGATGAGAACCATTACGATCACTAGCTAATTCATTAAGTATACAAATTGAGAAAACCCTGAGCAATGACTGGTTAACGTTAGATCAATGATTTTTTTTGTGTCATGGCTTTGGCAACCTATGCCAAGCAATCACCACTAAGGGTTTTAACACTTCCGATTTTTTTAAATACGATATACCGCTATAGTTGCCGTCCAAATAGTTATAACTATTAGTCCAAACTAGTTATAGCTGAAATTTTGTCTCAAATCCCATTTTATGCCGTAAGTTCGGGACAAGTTCCACGGCTTTAACTAGTCCCAAATAATGGTTAATACCTTGGAAAGTCCCAAAGTCCCAAACTAGTTAGGTTTGGACGGCAACTATATATACCGCAAATTATAATATCACAAAATCACGTATAATATCGTAATGCCGTAATATAAATTATGTAATATTATAAATCTATATGAATGCTACCAAGGAAAAATGAGACCTCGTAAATTTAAGTTAATAAATTACCTGCTATCGAACTTAGTTCGTATCAGTAGTATATATGTCACATATCGGATTTTCAAGAATTAAGTTCGATAAATTATAACTTAAATTCAAATTATACGTACTGTACGTAATCTACATTACAAAGGTTTGATATTCATTTTGTTAATAATAATAAGTACATAGGCTTCGATATTGTGTCTCAGCAACCTTAAATCTTTTTGAAGCAAAAAGAGGGTTCGCAAAGGTTACAACTAATTCTAAAGAGATAAAAGTTGCGACTTTGCAGCAGGCATCTCTAATCACCTCAGCACCCCATGACCAGGCGTCACAATACATCAATAATATAACAGAATATGCTAATGGCATATGAAAATGCAAGTATCGAGTGTGAGATTTGGGTGGGAACTGTTACGGCTTATGACGTAACTATTTAAAGCTTATGTCATACTGTAACTAGCTACGGCATAAGCCGTAACAGTTTTTAATCAGATGGCAGGAATGAATGCAGCATCATTTTGAGGCTAAATCCAATAAACCCCAAAGAATTCATTGTACAGTTCGCCAACCCTCTACCGGCAGGTGGAAAATCACCGGTTAAACAATCCTACGGCGACTCCCGACTGTCATTATTGCCGTTCTGACCAATATTGATCAATTGTTTATCTTTATTATATACTAAGAGAGATATCTTTTTAATTGCTTTAATAAATTGCGCCTCCAGCAGTCTACGCAACCCTGTGAAAAAAAAAAAACAAAAGCAAATAAAAAAAAAATCAAAAGCAAAAAAAAAAAAAAAAAAAAGGCTTGCACTTGGGTTGATAAGTTAATTTCAAAAAAAAAATCTTTGATTTATTTTGAATAATGAGAACGATAAAATTCTTTGTAGCGCCCCATTAACGAACCCATGACTTTGTGACATATACGCATCGGAAATAAAAAATTTGAATCTTGTAAAAATTCAAGTCAGTCACAAAAAAAAAAACATTTAATTTCCGGAATTGTTAGGGCCACCGCGGTAAAAATGACGTATTACACATCAGACAATGGTTTTTGTTCACGTTTAAGAGAAAAAAAATTTTAAACCATTGTAAACATCGAACCATTGTGAACTTAAAACGTATATAGTATTGATTACCTCGCCAAATTTGGTTTCCCATCAATGTTAATGTTAAATTTCATTGAATCTTTTATGCATACGCCAACCTTCCAAATATTAATTAGAACTGCTCTTGTAAACAAATGTTAAATATATATTTGGTTCAGGTCAACATCACCGGCTTAATTACCGAATTAATTACTGAATTAATTACTGAATAATTAATTAAATTAATTTGTAAAATGGTTAATGGCTCCACTATCTCTAATAACCCGAAGTAGTACATTTAAAATAATTCATTTAGAGAATCTGAAAATGCTTATTTATTTTGAATGAATTCAAATTGTAAATGCAGTGTTTTCTAAAAATAAACAACGTGTACGTGCGTGCGTCTATCATATGCCCCAATATTTTGGATCGGGCTTCACTGTTTGTTTAATAAGGATATTTTTAGTATATGGGCATTTTTTTATTCACGCATTAATTAGGAAATTATGCAGCGTTGCACTTGCGATATGATGGCATTTATTTGGAATGATCTGCTTTAAATACAGATACGTCTCTTGAGGTAAAGAACTAAAATTTCAGAAAAAGTCGGTAATTACCGAAAGAAACTTCCTTCTACCCTAATAAGTGTGCCAAGAGTATCGCGAACATGTTAAATACTTGATATTACCCATAATTATTTATTAGAATATTCAAAAGAATGCTTAAAAATAATCGTATTCTCATCTCTAAAGGAAGGTCATCAAAGAAAAATATAATTATGGAATTTCGTGTAATTTTATGAGTAAGCTAGCAATGCCCCATAAAAATGGGAAACTGCATTTACATTATCAATCTTTTTAATTATTCTTTAGAAAATTCCTTTTATGCATTAAATTCAATCCTTTTTTATATATCTATTTACGGTTGATATTTGCCATTTTATTAAGCATACACGTATTACCTAATAAAAATTCACGCGTCATTGACTAAGCTGTTAAAATCATTTTCATTATATAATATTAGATGGATAAAATTCTATTGATTTCTCCTTTTCTAGAATGGCTCTGTTCGCGTAAATGATTTAAAAGTATGACGCTTTGTTTTTCACTCAAATGCATGAATGGTCCGTAGTCCGATTTATTTGCATACTATAACAGACAAAGCTTCTTCTACAATGTTGATGACTAATTCATTAGCCCTGGGAATGAAAAAAAAAAAAAAAAAATCAGACCACTCGCTCGAATATCCAAAGTTATGTGGCTGTTTTTAAGTTTAAACAAAACTTTCATCATTAAAGGCAAACCTGTTTATTGAAAATACATTTGATGTTTGGATCGAAACTATATAAAACAACCTCTCATTCTCGTTAATTTTTCTTATAATTTTTTTTTAACGAAAGAAACAATTTTTTAACGAAACGAAACAATTTATTTGTTTCATTAATGATGACAATCATGACGACCGCCGAATCATATTCAATCTTATCAACCGTAAACAACGTCACATTACAATTCACTCGTTGTGATTGTGGTCAAACTTACGTCTGCTTCATAAACAATCGCGTGATATTTACAGTCCCTACGGTTAGGTACCTCCTAAATAATGGCAGAAGAAGAGCTCCACAAACCTGCTTCATTTTGTTCCGCAATGTTATACAGGATTGCGTGACTTCCTTAAACATTAGGATAGAAAGACACGATCTATCCCGACATGCAAGTAATTTATGGAATCAACTGAAGCAGCATGACGCTCATCTAATAGATGAGTTTCGACGTGTGGCACGTCTCGCTGCCCAGCAATTCTATTCATCCCAAATAAGAATCATCAACGTAAATATCCCCGTTGCGATTCGTCCGCAAACCAATGCTCCAATTCCGATCGATGATGAAAATCTTCAAAAACTATTGAGGGACCTTTTCCCCGATACACTACCGCCTCAAGATTTTCATCAATAACCCCTTTTTTTATTCGTTATTCTACGTATTTTTTATACATTCTTTTTTTTTTTTTTAATATTCTTAACAATAATAGACTACGTAGCGAATTATTAATTGCCGGCTTCAAATTAGTTAATAATTCTCTGTCAGTTTATATTGTTAAGATATATATATATATATATCATGATAATTTTATATATTTATACTTATCATTTATATGTAATGCAGTATTGTATTTTTACACTCTACCCTTGTTATATCGGAATTCGTTAAAAGTGTTTCTCTCGTTATAACGAAATAATTTTTAATCATAATAGATGCTACTATAACGATTATATATATATAACGATTGAATCCTCTCAGCCATTATAATGATGGCAGTGTGTTTATGTATAAAAATTATGTTATTGTATTATATGTACACTATTATGCTATTTATATTTAATAAAGCGGGTGAACTTAAAAAATTCTAGTTGACAAATATGTGTAACGGTCTGTTCGTTTTTTTTACCGAATATATAAAAAGTGGAGTAATCTATTCTTTTCACGATTTTTATGCATTAAAAAGGCACCAAATATTAAAATTTTATTAACATGAAAAGCAATATTTAAAAATATTTGACAGATTAAGAAATTTAACTTAAGTATAGAATATAATTCTATTAATAGTTTATTTAAATAAATTACTATTTACATTTATAAGCTTGCATATTATTTTATTACATTATTCCAATCTTTATTTCCATAAGGCCTTAATACTATGTTTTTATAAATTATTTACAATTATTATAAAACGCACCTATGGTGGTTGCACCTATTATAGTTTTTATTATGTTTTTTAAAATTTTCTAAATTTTATAAGTGTTGTATATAAAATATTTAATATCAATTTTTTCACGTTAAAGTTAATATTAAGGTTAGGATTAGGGTTTGGGAAGGGTTTTTGGGACATAGAACATTTTTACTTAGAACAGTTTTTGAGATAATACAACATAGGTGGTAAAATACCATAGGTGCGTTTTAGTAAAAGTAATTATTTATATATAATTTCACAGTTTAAAATAGTTGTTATTTTAAATATCAAAGTACAGCCTAACCTCGATATAATTACCTTCTTGGGAACAATAAGAGGTGATTCTAAATAATATTAAACTCTATAGTCACCTTAATATAAATAACAAATATGATTATACTTATAAAACTTTATTTTTATAAATAAATCGATTACTGCGCATTATAAAAAGTTGTTTTACGTAATATATTACATATATTACATATAATTTAAAATTTTATAATTTGTAATGTACTTTATTATGGTGATTTTACACTTTATACAAAAAAATTAAAAATTTTTTCATATAACATAAAGTGTAAAGTTATTACAATAAAAGTTATTTCAAACTTATAAAATTTTAGAACATAAGTAATTTATCATGTAGAACAACTTTTGCTAATGTATAGTAATCGATTTACTAATAAAAAAATAAAGTTTTAAATGTAGCAACTACTGCAATTAATTGTATTTTTATTTTATTTATTAATTTTTTAAAGGGTTTTATAATTTAGCGCATGTGCATTGTAACGCACTCCCCTGATCGACCAATCAGATCGCAAGATCATGTATAACGTGAAATCGAAAAAAATAGTGATATTTTGAAAAAAATCACCTGTAACTCATAATTTTGCTTATGAAACCACCTTTTGCGCTCTAACAAAAAAAATTCTTTGCAAAATTTTGGGTATAACTAAAATTTAATTTAACCTTACATTAGTGCTAACTCTTACCCTAAATTAATGTATTGCTGGTTTGTTTTGATTTCACATTACACCGGATCTTATGGGGTGCATTACAACACACATGCACTAAATTATAAAATTCAAAAAAGAATTTTATATATATATATTTTTTTTTAGTATTAAGGTGAGGCCTTGCTCGTATCTTTATTAAGTAATTTTTA